TACATTAGCTGATCAACTTACAGTGTAAGGCTCGATGCTTTCCATCGTCAGGTGCGCTCGTTCCTGTTGGTGTCGTCAATCTGGCAACCTGCGTGTGTGTCAAGTAGAGCTGTAGTCAAGTACAGCTTTGTCGAGTTCAAGACAAGTCCAAGACCAGGACTAGTCGAGACCGAGTCAAGACCGAGTCCAAAGAGGTTTGAGTCCAAGTCAAGTCCAAGTCCAAAAGTTTCGAGTCCAAGTCAAGAGGTGCCCATTGCTAAATAACATGTTCATACTGCAATGACAATGAAAATACGATTCATCTTTCAGCCCTATTTCTAACCTCATAAAAAGAGTCGGTAACACTTTACAATAAGGTGTCATTTGTTAACATTAGTTAATGTATTAACTAACATGAACAAACAATTAACAATATTTGAGCCCCTGAATATATTTATTACACTATTTATTTTTGTCTTTGTTAACATTATTTAATAAAAACACAGTTGTTCATTCATTGTTAGTTCACAGTGCATTAATGTTAACAAACACAACTTGTCATTTGAATAATGCATTAGTGAATGCTGAAATTAAAGTTAGCTAATATTAATAAATGCTGTAGAAGGAAGTAGGTGTAGACATTAATAAAACACAATCTAACAGGTAGAAAATTAAATAAACTTTTCAAAACACAGCAAGCGCACCGCGGCTCATGTGACAAGAATCAACCAATCAGCTTCATCCTTTCCCCTTAACAAAATTGAAAGCTAAGCCAAGACGGAGAAACAGCTGATCATAGTTGTACAAGGATAGCCATTTTTTTAAAATAAATTTAGTAGCAGAGCTACCTCAAGGGATTTTTAGTGCTGCAAATCCATTTATGCTTTGCTGAAACTTCCGCGTCTTCATGGACAGCGCGGGTCATAGTTGCTTAGCAACGGCAGACGCCACTGGAGCGCAAGCGTAGAGCGCAGGCTACAGAAGGCTTTGGAAAGAAGGAGAAAGCGGCGCGCCTAGCGTTTTCCACGCGTTTTCAGGCGCGACATGCAAATGTGGTTTTGTTTTGAAGGAGAAAAAAAGCATATTGCTGGACTCGGTCGAGACCAACGAGAACATTTGGCGAGTCCAATGACCAAGTCCGAGTGCAAACACCAACGAGTCCGAGACCAGTCCGAGACCATAGAAAAATGTCCGAGACCGGACTCGAGTACTACAGCCCTAGTGTCAAGTCTGAGGAGGAGGGGCAGGGTAAAAATAGTTTGAATTTGGACTGCAATACCTAGTTCAAGCCTACATACAACACCTTTAAGAAAAGTTTGGACACAAGAAATTGAGCAAATTTTTTCATAACAGATCATCTCGCAAATAGCTTGCAGCACTAATTTCTTCTCGACGCCCATATTCAAATAAACAACTCCTCTTTCACGTGTTGTTGTGGCATTCTCGTTCCACTTCTCACGTGTTTGCATGATAAAAACGTGGTTTGGGGACCGTGTGGAGTCGTTGGGTGACAGATCGTTGTTGTCAGCTCCTGTAGTGTGTGACTCCCTATTGCAGATCATTTATGTAGTGTGAACACCACAACGCCTTCAAGACAGCAAATCATGTAGTCTGAACAGCACAGCGATCTGCCAACGTTTAAAGTCATGTAGTGTGAACTTGGCTCTAATCACCCCAGTCTGCAGGACTTCAGATCCAATCAGCAGTGAGCGCAAAAAGGGGGCAATACCACCAACCTGTTCACCCTCCTCCGCCTCTATCGTCCTGCAGCTTTTGCCACTGTACAGAGAGTAAGCTGCACTATTTTGTTAGCCCTGAAACGGGAAATGTTACATTAACCTGTTAATTGAGCTTTTAGTCCAAAGTGTGCTAATTTGGATAAAAACTCATGGATTATGTATTTTTACTTTAAATGTCTTTTGAGTGGAGTATTTTTTCTTCTATTTTTACCCAAAATGGGGCGATGTGTGCTTTATAGAGCACTAAACTCTCACGTTTCATTCATACTAGACGCCGGAGGGCGAAACTACTTTGTTTGGCCTTCCAAAAGAGGACACACCTAGAAATCAGTGGTTAAGTTGTATTTACAACACTGTTCCAGAACAGTTCAACCCAAATATTCAGATGTGTCCAGCGCATTTTATGGAGGACTGTTTACTGATCCTGGGAGAGTAGACTACAATGCTGGCTGTTCTGACTCACAGCCTGTAAGTACGTTTTTTATATTTAAAGAATTTGCCACTGACGATTCAAACGCGAGTTTTGAGCAGTGTAGAGTAGCGCTTGTAGTTTGTAATTTCTCCAATCACAAATGCAGACATGGTTTTATGTTTACACGGCGCGATGCAATGCAACGTGTAAAAAGACAGTATAAGTCATTATAATCCATAATTATGTTCCCACTGGATGCAACAAATTCTGTGAAAAGAAGGCACATCAGTTCACAGAAGGTGTTTTTTATTTGTATTTTTATTTTTTTTTTAAACTGTATGCAGTTTAGTATAATTGTCCCCTTTTGTATGCAATGGTGTGATTCATTGGCCAATAAAATAAGATAAAATAAAATAAAAACACACAATATAAGTAAAGATGTATGTGACTGATAGCACTTTTGGACAAGATAATCCTGTAGTGAAAAATCTGATGTTGTGACAGTCCTAAATTGAAGTAGTTGGAAAAAAATGTCCTTTTTTTATCGTGCAAGATGCAGAAAAAACTGTTAGAAGCAACAGAATAGCCAAAGATCTGTTTTATTGCAGATGTCCAAAAAAAGGTCTGTGTGTTCTGTGGATCAGGCAGAATAACACAATATAAGGTTACAATGTGAAGTGTAGTGTCAATGTGCTGTCATTCTTTGTGGACCATATGGCAGTGGGTGTGGGCATCTTTTTTTTTTTTGAAGGGGCACCAGTGCCAGTTCTAGCTCACTTGGTGAGTATAAACAAAGGGGAAAAAAAGATTTACAAGTAAATATGAAATAGCAAAGCTACGGATACATTTTTATTTAGGATGGAAAAGGACTCTGATCTAATAATTTTTGAATAAACCAACCAAAATTGCAGTTGGTTTTGACAGCCATTAATGACCATTTATTTTTGTTGAATGGAAAGTGCAGCTTTAATTTTATTCCACTGGAAAAAAGTTACACAAGTTTTTAGTGACATGAGGGTGAATATGATTTATGGAAGATGCAACTTGATTGAACTGACATTTGTGATTGAGTGATGTTTGCCATAACATTTTATACAGTTCAAAGTTAGAGGTTATTATTATCTTTTAAAAAAAAAAGGATTTTAAACTAAACAAAAGTAACAGTAAAGACATTTGCAATGTTAAAAAAAAAATCTGTTTCAAATAAATGCTGTTCTTTTGAGCTTTTTATTCATTTAAGAATCTTGAAAATAAAAATGTATCATGGTTTCCACAAAAAATATTAAGCAGCACACAATGATTTCTGTAGGATCATGTGACACTGAAGACTGGAGAAATGCCTGCTAAAAATTCAGCTTTGCCATCACGGCAATAAATTACATTTTAAATTATATTAAAATAGAAGTGTTGTATTTTATGTACAAATGTATTTTATGTTCACAGTATTACGGTTTTTACTCTATAGTTAGTTAAAAAAAAAAAATTAACATGCAGTTATTTTAGGTAAAAAACAACAACAAAAAAAGAGATGCTTTTAAGTGAAAAAAGTTTGGGGTTGGTGAGATTTTTTATTTTTTTGAAGATACCAATAATTTGTTTTTGAAAGGTACATTTAATAATAATAAAATGATGCTTTAGGCAGTATGTATTTTTCTGTCAGGTCATGACTGTGTCTCATCCCCTTTACTCTTCCAAATAGCTTTAGCTGAGCTCGTGTCATTACAGGCTGTCAGAGCTCCAGTATAAAGTTCCAGCCTCGCCTATTGATCTGTGTGCCAAACGCTTTCCTCGCTTCGAGTTAGAGCTGTGTGTGTGTGTGTGTCATGTACAGCCATTTTGTGTAAATGTGTTTGCAGAGGTTCACCTCTTTGCTCATTCCTTCTCTGTTCCTCACATCTGCGTACCCAGGGCCGAAACGGATGAGAAAATCAGGGAACTGGAATGAGGGAATGAAAGTGTGCGGGAGAGAGTCTGATGAGGGAGAGGGAGAATGAAACGGGTGTCAAGGGCAATGAAATAGAGAGGGACATTTTCTCCAACTCACCTAACCAAGAAAAAAAACTAACAAAACAGAGAAAGACGTTTACGGTCTGTTGTGAAAGATAAAGCAAGCTTCTTTCGGTCTCGTCTGCTTGATCTGGGAAGGTTTATGAGAGGTGATGAGAGCTCAAGTAGCTATCCACTTCCTCAGGCTCTGCTGTCTTAATGCAGTCTGGCATTTCCAGCCAGATGAGCCGTGAAAAACATGGCGTAGACAATGCCATTTCCGAAAAGTCGCACTACATGACTGTCAGGAAGAGAGATGGAAGGAGAAATAAATGCAAAAAGTATTGTAGAATGATCTTCTACAGTGGTGCTCGGAGATGGAGGAATGATATAGCCTATATATATTTATATATCAACATTTTTCACCAGCTGCTCTCATCCATTTAAATTGTAGTTTTATCCCCTTCTGGCAAATCCTCACTTTCCTCCAAATTCAGCTCGGGCTGTCATCTTATTTTTCATCTCACAATCCCTGTGCTCTCTCTCTCTCTCTTTGTCCGGTCTGCTTGCATTACAAGACACACTTGTAGCATCTGTCTCTCTCTCCATCCCTGTTTTTCTCTTTATTCTTGTCTATCTCTTTCAGTCATACTGCTTTTCTCAGTCTCCCTCCCTCAAGCGTTTATGCCTTGAATGTTGTGCACACGCAAGCATTAAACTTAAAGATGCCTCAGTTTTCATTACACATTTTCAGTGTGATGGTAGTCGCCCGCCAAGCACCAAATACAGTATCTGTCATCATCCCTCCCCTTTTTTTCTCACTCTGTGTGTTCCCTTCCTCTCCCCTTTTTTCGTATTTGATTCTTTCCAGTCTCTCCGTTCCTCCTTTTATCCACAATCTGCTGCTTGTATCCATCCATCACGCTCTAAGCGGAGGAGTGGAGTATGAACGCACGCGGGAGGAGAGGAGAGAAAAGCGAGCACGAGAGAGGAAAAACGGCACAGCGTCTCGTGAAGAGCAAGAGCGAACGAGCCTCTCTCTCTCTCTTTACCTCAGTTTGCGTTTTTTACATGTGAGTGTGTGCGGGTATCTGACATCTGTAACGTTACCGGCTGAGTTGTCGTTAGCGTGGATACGGCGGGAAGAGGAGCGGGAAGCGCCGGGCGCGTGATGGATTGGTTGGATTAGCGCGGGAAGCGCGCGACTGGGAGAAGCTCGCGCTCACACACTCAGTCGACTCAGGATCAAGGACAACATCTTCTCCGGCCCTCTCTGACCCCCCCTAGCCCCCCCTCTCTCTCACACTCACACACTCATGCACGGCTGGATGTTGTGTCGTTAGGCTGCACGTGAGGTGCTTAGAATTGCCATTGGATGTCCAGTGACCGTGTGTGTATGTGTGTGCACGTGCATGAATTTGTTTATGGGGATGGGATCATTTTTAAGCTCTGTAATGTTTTTCTGTCAGTTTAAATTTAAATAGCTTTATTGGCATGACTCTATAAGTAATACCATTTTTTTGTTGTTGCCAAACTTAATTCAGAAATATGTGCTGGATTTGCTCTGTGCATTTTCTTAACTTCTCTTAAACAAGTGGAAGAAAGTTAGAGAGAGAGAGATTTGTAGATGTAAAAAGAAGAAATAGAGGAGGGCGATGGTGTAGAGAAGGAGGATCCTGGCATTTGGAGGGGCTGAAATGATGGAGTGGGTGGAGAGACAGACGGAGGGAAACCCTTGGGCAGCATCTTCCACTCCATTGCCACCCTCTCACACTGCTGAACTGGAGCAAGATCTGTTCTTCCTTCACTCAGTGATGTGTGTGTGTGTGTGTGTGTGTGTGTGTGTGTGAGAGATCTGTGGTCCAGCCTGATATTTATCAGTAGCAGCTCTGACTACTAGTGTTCAATGGACCCAGTCTTTCTCTCTCTGTATGTGTCGCTCTCTCTGATTGGACAGGAGACAGTTTGGCTATGGTGTCAGGGGGTCTGTGTACCTTGATTTGTCTCTGTTTGAGCATGTGTTAGTGTATATGTGCTGAAATAATTTTTTCTTTTCTTCTCCTGAATTTTCATCCTTTTCTTTTTTCTTTCTTCATATAATACCTTCTCCCTTTGCATTCTTTCTACTTTCTTCCCATCTTCCTTTCTCCTTCCATCCTTTTTCCGTGTTTATTTCTCTTTCTGTCTTTTCTTCCTCCCTTCATCCCATCTTTTCCCTTCCTTCTTTCTTTCTTTCTTTCTTTCTTTCCTTTCTTCCTTCCATCCCATCTTTCTCTTTCCTTGCTTCCTTCCTTCCACCCTATCATTTTCACCTTCCTCCCTTCTCTCTCGTTTTCCTTCCTTCCTGCCTCATCTCTCTCTCTGTCAGTTTCCTTCCTTCCTTCCTTAATTGTCCCATCCTTCTTTTTCCCCTTCCATGCTTCCTTCCTTCCACTCTTTCTTTCATCCCTTCTTTGTCCTTCTTTCCTTCCTTCCTTTTTTGCTTTCTTCCTTTCCTCCTATCTTTGTCCTTCCTTGCCTTTTTCCTTCCTTGTTTGCTTCCTTCCTTCCACTCTTTCTTTCATCCCTTCTTTGTCCTTCTTTCCTTCCTTCCTTTTTTGCTTTCTTCCTTTCCTCCTATCTTTGTCCTTCCTTGCCTTTTTCCTTCCTTGTTTGCTTCCTTCCTCCCAATATCTTTCAGCGCCCTCCCTCCCTTCCTTCCTTCCCTCTTTACTGGCTGCCTGCCTGCCCTTCATCTTTCTCTTTCCTTGCTTCCTTCCTTCCACCCTATCATTTTCACCTTCCTCCCTTCTCTCTCGTTTTCCTTCCTTCCTGCCTCATCTCTCTCTCTGTCAGTTTCCTTCCTTCCTTCCTTAATTGTCCCATCCTTCTTTTTCCCCTTCCATGCTTCCTTCCTTCCACTCTTTCTTTCATCCCTTCTTTGTCCTTCTTTCCTTCCTTCCTTTTTTGCTTTCTTCCTTTCCTCCTATCTTTGTCCTTCCTTGCCTTTTTCCTTCCTTGTTTGCTTCCTTCCTTCCTCCCAATATCTTTCAGCGCCCTCCCTCCCTTCCTTCCTTCCCTCTTTACTGGCTGCCTGCCTGCCCTTCTTCCTTCCTTCCTTCCTTCCTTCCCCTCTTTCTTGCTGTCCTTCCTTCCTGTCTTATTTAGTGAGACTTCTTTCCTTTCTTATTTCTGTGTCTAAAACTGTTACAGCTTCTTTGGTCAGCAGGGTTCATGTTATATAAACCCTCTTTCTCAATGGTGTCTACATTAAGTTTTATGTTTTTTCATAAAGCCTTACAGTGCCTCTTTATGTTTGTGTCAAACCCGCCGCTTCAAGAAAGACTCTGTATTTTGTGATATATTATTGATGTGTCTGGGAAACTCTAATGAAGTGAAATATAGCCAGAATCAGCTGCCAGAAGGTGCCTGTGCTCAATCTGACAGTTGCTATGTATCTGCCTGCAGGTGTGTGCGTGCCAGAAATGGACCTGAAGGAGGGCTGTGGAAGCGAGGCCAGCCGTGAGACCGAGAGTGGAGGCATGGGTAGCCTGGGAGGCCCCACGTCTTGGCAGTCCTTTGCCCATCGAAGCACCCTGCACAGTTTACGCTTCATCTTCCCCTACTCCACTTCTTCCTCCCCCTACCGCTCCACTTCACGCCGTCTGCTCTGGAGCGCGGCCTTGCTGGCCAGCCTGGTCCTACTTGTCCTGGAGAGCACTGAACGGCTGGCGTACTTCCTCTCCTACCCCCACGTCACTAGTGTGGATGCTATGATTTCTGGCAGCCTAGTCTTTCCCGCCGTCACTGTCTGTAATCTGAACGCCTACCGTTTCACGCGTCTCACACAGAATGACCTCTACCACGCCGGGGAACTGTTGGCCCTGCTGGACGTGCACCTGCAGATCCCTGAGCCGCACCTGACCGAGCCCCACGTGCTGGCCTTTCTCACGGAGAAATCCAACTTCACTAACTACCGGCCCAAACCATTCAGCATGCGGGAGTTCACTGAACGAGTGGGCCACGACCTGAAGGAGATGATGCTTTACTGCCGTTTCCAGGGCCAGGAGTGCAGCCACCAGGACTTCAAAACGGTGAGTGTCTGCAAGGTGTTTCTTTTATAAGGTATTTTTCTGAGACTCGCTAGACCTGGAAGAAGTGTGTTTTGCTGTTGTGGACTAAAGCATTATGGGCTCAGTGTTGTTAGCTCTAAAGATTATCCTTGTCGTTCGGCTGGTTCGAAGGTTTGTAAAGAAATTATGATATTGATTCTTGCTGATGGTGTAGTTCCGGATGCTAAGCTGTGGTGTGAAGGGTTTTACTACTCTATTAAGCTACTCTCTGACTCTGTGTGCGGCTGGAAAAGCTTGTTTTCACTCTATAGGTACAGCTGTTTTCGTCTTAACTGTGATTCTATTCTTATGTAATGTGATGGACTAATTGACGATATGTTGAATGCCTAGAATTCATTGTATATATTTTCAAAATGCTACAAGGATTTGGAACAGTTTCTACCTTTGGAACTCTAAGATTTATGGTTCTCTCCAAAAATTCAATTTAAGACAGTGGCTCTGTCTCAAAACCAACCGTTGCTGTTTTCCGCCTACATAAACTGCATCATAACTGAAACAGATTCTCATAAGCCACTGATCTGAGACCTTCACAGGCAGCAACTTTCTTAACAGCCACTCAAGCACGCCCTGGTCCTCATGTGAACCTCACGAGACTCGCTGACGCTTGCGTCTCATTCTGTTGTTTACATGTAGCCTGCTAATGATTCTGGAATAAAATAGTTGTTTTATGTAGCTATTATCAGCATCTCCCTCAATCCTTCGTCTATGTTTTTCGCAGAGCTCCTCGCAATGCATTTTGGCCACGAAAGACACAAACAAATCCCTTTCAAAGTATCTTTTGAAGCATTATTTGCTGACTACAGATTGAAGCAGCCTTGGTGTTAGCAGCATGCCTACGACAACAAGAAATGGTTTGTGAGACAGAGCCATTTGCTTTTTTTCATCAGAAATGAAATTGACTAGTTGTTGCTCTAAATATTTCAAGAAAACTGCCACTGTAGGATATTCTCTAACTGGTTCAAATGGTTTTAGTGGAGTGAAGATGTAAATGCTGGCCGCAGCTGTGTGTGAAGAATGTGTTTTTCTCAGCACTGAGGGCTGAGATGATGAGGGTTGATAGCTGGTGTGATTCTCAGTTGGAGTGCTGCTGCTCTCCTCAGGGGTTGAGGTCTGTTTATTCCCCCCTCAGTCGCTACACGTGGGCTCTCAGTGCTTCGAACTGCACACAAGCACATTATAAACAAACTCGCATGCACACACTATGCACCAGCTTGCTTTCTGCTGCTTTGTAATGTCTCTTGCTGTTCTACAGTAAAGGTTTTTAACAAAAAGTAGCTCTTGACATTGAAGCAATTTAAGGGACATTTTTTATATCAGAAAGATTTTGCAATATGTGACAGTATTTGATACAAAACAAACAGGGAAGAACTCAAGCATAAAGCATTAATTTTTGTATTGGTTAATTAAGCATTAATTGGTGTCGGATAATTTACTATAAATACAGCTAATTGGACACCGAGTTAAAAACAACTTTTATGTAATTAGTAATGAACCACAGTTTTTAACTTTATATTTCGGTTTAAAAAATGTCATATAAAATGGCATGCAGGGACTTTCTGGCTCTGAATCTTTTTTTTTTTTTGAACCGGGTAATTGAAATGAATTGTCTGAACAAACCAGTTTGCTAAAATTGAATTGGACTTTCTACTTAGGAGAGAGAGGGACATTATGGGAGAGTGTGTTTAATGATTGCTTCAGCTGCCTTGTGACTTTTTTTGGGTAAAGTTACAGTACTTTGAAAATAGCCGATGCTGTTACACTACTGAAAAATGTATCAAGGTTAAATTGAGTTCAGGTGCTAGTTGAGGGACTGTCGGTCTGTTATTGTGGTGCCATCAGCCCATGAGTGTTTTCATGATGAGTAATTAGTCACATGACATTTACAACTCAGATGATTGTTTAGAGTAGACCATTACATACTTTCTATAATGTAAATAATGACCATTAAAATGCATGTAAAAAATGATACAGAAACTGTACAAATTCTACAGAAAACACTGTGAGTCTGTGACTGTAAAATCTGTTACCTTATATATGGTGAAAAACGGCAAATGATTGACCATTGCATTACATGTAGTTATACATGTACATGTCTATATAATTCACAATGAAAAACAGTAAAATGACATTTCCAGAAGTCCCTGCATGATGCATCACATATTATTACACAGGGTTTCCGCGGGGTCTTAAAAAGTCTTAAATTGTACAAGAAAGTCTTAATTATGACTTCAAGAGGTCTTAAATTTGGGGGACGGAAAGACCAGAATTGCGATATGGCTCAATGTGACGATTAAACTTCAAAAGGCTATGAAACATGAGCGCTGCACGTTCAAAGTCCGGTGCTGCGCTGCTTTATGTACTGCCGTTACCGGGGAAACTGGTATCCAGAGAATGAGTGTGCAATTTCAATAAAACTTGTTTTGATCAGAGTTCAGACAAATGCGAAAATCCACCCATGTTTTTACCCTGCAAACACGCAGAGCTTTAAATGTGAACTGGTGGCTCGATAAGAAAACAATACATTATAAAAATCTTAATAGGGGTGGGCGATATGGTCTGTGATAATATCGTAATTGTAGTTTTAACGATGTGCGACTTGACATTATCGAGTATATTGCGAAAAGCAAACAAAACACACCTACAGAGTGCATGCATACATTACGTGATGAAGTCTAGTAAGTTAACATAGGTTAAATTAGTGCACGTACACATTTAGAGTGCCTTCTTTCACTGCATGAATCAGTCTATTAAAATGCATTTAGAATGATCACATAAATCAAGATATGGGCAGTGGCGGCTCGTGGGTTTTAAAATAGAGGAGGGACTCTAATTGTATTGGTCTGGGATCCCTGCCGATTATTATTATTATTATTTGCTTAACCACTTTAAAATGGCTTTTTGGTTGCTTTTAGTCAGAAAACGTAAAGAAAACGACATACATACAGCAAGATAATATAATTTCACTTACCTGGCCTTGAAGCAAACATCCATCCCTTCTTAAAAGTCTGTGTTAAAAGAGAGCTGACTGTTACGCCATTTAATTAAGCCGACTGGTAGCCTATATCCAGCTTAGGCTGTTTTCCCTAAATTTGTATATATACTGTTTGAATGACAGCTTGGTAAATCTTTTGGCGATCAAATATTCAATATCATTACTCATCATAAGTACTTGGTACATTATCAGCTCAGCGGCAGACGTTCAAACTAATATCACACAAGTTACGTCTCTTTGATGATTGGTTGATATCAGAAGGGAGGCTAGCCTCTCTTACGAGGTTTCTTTTCTCAACACTCCTCAGCGCTGAAAGTGAACACTCGATGCTGATTGGCAAATTTTTTTTTACCAACGGAGGCACGAAAGCTCATCTCTCCCCTGGCCTCCCCCTACCCTTCTCTATCACCTAGCGGTTGTAATTACATCAGCAGATTCGGTGCATTCGCAATAGAAAAACGGCGCTTTCACGTAATGGTATTACAACTGTGAACTTACACATTCTGAGTACACATTCTGAGACATGAACTGAAATGAATTGTAAATTTTATTAACATTAAATCGTCCTCTTCCCATTTTCACCTCAAAATTATGGGGAAGCTGTGCCTCCCCTGCCTCCCCCGACGAGCCGCCACTCGATATGGGGGCAGAAAATGTATATATTTATATAATTTCATATAGTTAATATCACACCGAAGAATGCCGTTTTTTTTCTCCAAAAGTCAGCATGATTACGAATAACAGTTCAATAAACAAGAAGTTAATATTAAGAGACTTATGTTTTAGACATCATATTGCCTGCTTTTGTTCTATTTCGCCAACAAAAAATCATTCCAAACAAAGCCCACAGCACTGTTTTGCGTCTCTGAACAACAGGATGATCACCCGTTTAAATGATTCGGTTCAATCGCAATGACTCACTTATTAACAGTGACTTGCTGCCACCTGCTGGCGGTTTAACTTCACATTTAAAGTATCTTTTAATTGTATTAATAATTTTAAACATCAGTTTTGAATGTTTTATGTTTAAAATATCAAAACATTATTTATGCATTTGTAACTGCAGGTTAAAGTATTCTATGTCCCTCTGAGCTGCATTAAACAGTGTGTAGGCTAAATGCGTCTAAATGCCACTTCAGATGCAGCTTCTGTGTTTTCTTTGCATTGCAAAGATGAATTCTGTTGATACTGATTTCATTTGCTTGGTAACAGCCCAAATGCAAGAATTTGACTCAAAAGATGATGCACACTTTTAGAAAAAATGGCTTAATGGTAAAAATGCCCATAAAACTTGTTGGAAAAGATACATTTATATCACTGCTGTGAACTGACCACACAGAATATGAAGAATATAAAAAATTTAGGAGTCAGCGGTAGTTCTTAAAATACCAGCACAATAACACACTCAGTGAAATATCGTCTAATTATCGTTATCGATAAAATCCCAGAAAATATAATATTTTGTCAATATTGCACACCCCTAATTTATGTTATTTAATTTATATAACAATTTATTCATAATAATTGTTTAAATTAATGATTAATACTTTTGACTCATCCATTTTCTTAAAAATGGTTTAAAGGCTGAAATGTAAAGTTTATCATTTGTAAAAAAAATTGTTTTTGTGAAAACAAAAATCATGCTTTTTACAGTTTAATATGGTACTATAGGCATTGCCATACCCCGCTCATAGGGTATTAGATTTATTTGTGCAGGTCTTAAAAAGTCTTATATTTGATCTTAAAAATCCTGCAGAAACCCTATGTACATCTTTGTACATTGTCTATGTATGAGCATTGGTCAAGTCTTATGTACAGGCCACTTGTAATGAACCCTAATTTCATTATGTGGCTTTCTATTTTACCACCTAATGGTGGTTATCTATACATTTTTAAGGTGAAAAATTTGGTACTGGTATATTAACATTACAGTATATTACTTAATGAAATATATAGATTTAAGTTGAAA